TTATAGCGGCTCGAGCCGAGCTTTCGCGAGCCGGCTCGTGAGGCTCGCGAGCCGGCTCGGCTTATGCGGAGCTTTAAAAAAGCTATAAAGGTTAGAAGTTAAGTGACTCCACTTTTAGTGAAAATGAAAAGCATAATACTAGAGCATTTAGCAAATTTCTGAAGCCTCATAAAATTGAGCCTAAAATATTAAGAAAAATAGGAGGTAAGCATGCTTCCAGAGTTTATGGCAGTTCAATTTTAACTCACTGAAAAGTATAAAAATGTGAAAATTGAATCAAATCACGTGATTATCATCAGAATTACTATAATCATCAAATTCATTATCAATTAATTATGCGTTTTCATCAGATGCAAAATATTTCTTAATGTTGTTTAATGTTTTTCTCCAAAGTCCAATAATAACTTGTAAGATAATTTTGTGTTTAAATGCATCAAATATTTTGTTTCAGATAGATAAAAGGTTTGGATGTGAACCTGAACATGCAACTTCACCCTTTACTATTGACTAAATATCTTCAATAGGTTGAAGTTCACAATGATATAGAGGTGTAAAATTAATTTCAAGTTCATACTATTCTATTATTTTAACATAAGAAAAAGGAACCTTTTCCTTATTCATTTACAATAGTTTCAAAAGTTCTGGCTTTCTTAATTCATCAGAAAAAGAAATATCATATACATTTAACCAGTTAACTATTTCTTGTTTTTTTGCACTTGAAATCAGAATATTTTCTACTCGCCGTTTATGGTAACTAACTCTATTTATATGGATGATTACTAACCCATATTTTTCATAAAGATTTTTACACAGAGTTGTAAAAAGATTCTCAAATATTTCTGCATTGAAGTTTCCGTGATAATCTACCTGATTTGTAATGATATTAGCATCTTTAATGATATTAGAAATATTGTTCCATTCTTTAGTATTGTTTCTTTTCTCACCTCTATTTCCTGAAGGTTTAATTTTTGAATCCCAAATATGAATAGAGTTTGGAACAAGTTCACCATGCAGTTTATTGGATGACCCATTTCAAAATACTATAATTGCATCAAAAATTACTACTAACAGTCTATGCTCAAGTGATAAAATAACACCTTGATAGAGAACCCATGTGTTTCGTGAAATGTAATGCAAATAGCAATATGACTCATCAAGGAAAACCTCTGAGCAGCATGAAATATTATTTTTATCTTTCAAATTAGTAAACCTATAATGAAGATAATGGTAACGGAATGCAACATTATTTGATGATTTGTGAAGAATGTTTCTTTGTTCTTTCTGACCAAAATAATATCTTAAGTAATATAATACCTAAAGGAGCTTTCAATTAGAAATAGTATATCCTTGTTTTGTTCAGAAAGAAATTGTTTTAGAATAGATGTGAAAAGGAGTTCACCCACTTTATTGGCACTTAAAACCTTCATATGCAAAAGCTTAGTTATATTTTCATTAGGTTTTAATATAGGTCATCCAAGAACTTTGTGTGATATAAATGTATTATTACTACAGCTGTTCCAATCTGATACAACACTTTCAATTGTACCTTTAGATACACCCAATATCTCAGCAATCCACTTGCATAATAGTAGTTTCTAAAGGTTTTCTTTTAAGATTTATTCCCCTTAAAGTAATTATAAACGTTAATTATTATCAATTTTTCATTATCTATCAGTGGTGTGCTATTTCAGTTTAAAAAAAAAAGATTCATAGCATGATAAAAAAACTTGTGAGAAAAAATGTGTTTGGTTATGTTTTAACAAATATTTAATTTTTAACCCACTTTATTTTAATGATATGATATTTATTTTAGTGTAAATCTTTCTTTTTTTTGGCAGTATACAAATCTTTTTGCACTAGACCATTAGAAGAGAATTTATAGTAAATAAGTGTAAAATTCCACAATCTAAGAGATAATTCAATCATTTGATCTTTAGCTAATTTAAACTATTTTAATCAGTATTAATATCAGATTTTTTTTAATCTAATAAATAATCTTTTATATAAACTTTATTTATATATTATTAGAAAATTTTTTTAAATGTAAACCTTCATAAAATTTACATTTTTTAATGTAATATTATAAAGTTCTTATAATATTGTAAAGTTTATTAAGGTTTATAGATTTTATGGAAGTTTATAAAATGTAATTTAATTTTATAAAAGTTTATACTAAAATATAATTTTACGTAATATTTATAATATTATAAAGGATTATGAAGGATTGTAAAGAGTTGTGAAGGTTATATAAATTTTACAAAGGTTTATACTTAAAAAATTTTTATGATAATATTATTTTGAGTCAATATTATCTAAAACAAATAATTACATTATAATTGCTTAAAAAATTAAGTTAATATTATAATATATTAATCAAATGTATATTGCTAATACTTTATACTATATATTAGAAAAATTATTGATAAAAAATTCAACTTTAATATTAATAATATTTGTAAAAAGATTTATATGATATTGTATTTGAACTAATTAAAGTTAAATCTGTAATTATTAAATTAAAATTAGTTGTAAAATTCTAATTATAAGAAATATAATATAAAAGTTTGCAAATAATTTTACTTTAAAAGCTATAAATTAGATTATAATTAGTTGTAGCTATTTTAAAGTAATATTATCTTTAGAATTATTAAACTTCTTATAAAATTTATTATAAAATGTTATTAAAGTCTTAGTTTAAATATAAATGTATTTAAAAAAATTTCTTAATTTCTATAATAAATATTCTTACAATATTAAATTTATAATATCAGAATATTCTTTAAATTATTATGATTTATTAATAAAAGAAAATAATATTTAATATATATATCTTGGTTCTTTAAAATCTATAATTATTATTTAGAAACATTAAAGATATAAATAATATAAAATTAATTTAGCTAAATAAATCTTTAGCTGATATAATAATTAATTTAAATATAAGATTTAGATGTATTTTAGCAGGTTTAACTTAATTATTAGAATTCATTTTTGATAATTCAAATGTTTTTAATTTGAAAACTTTTTTATTGATTTATTATTGAAAAATTATAATTTATAAATTTATATTTGTAATTTTTTGATTCTTATTTTTAAGTATCAACTTATATAATACTATTATAATTTTTATTAATAAGTAGAGTAAGGAATTTTATAAATATACTAATTATACATACTTTTTAACCCTGATTATAAGTATAAAAATCTATAAAAGATTTATTAAAGTTAGAATATATTATTGTATATATGTAAATTGTTGGAAAAGTCAGTTTTGAGAAAATTTTCACCAAAATTAAGAGCTTATTACATTTTATTCTAATAATATTAAAACTTAAATGCAATAAAAATCTCAATTTTGGGATTATTTTTCTTCTTTTGGAATTGTTTTGAAATTTTCCAACAAATTTTAGATAAATATCTTTAAGGTTGTTCACTACAAGCACTTGAATACATGAATTATCAAAATAAAATCCTTTGGTTAAAAGTATACCTGCGTATTCAATGCAAAAAGATCATTCATTAGAAACGCATCTCGTAAATTTAAAATAAAAACCTCAAAAAAAATCGGTCGATTTTATCGGGTGATGAAAATACTTTTATTTTGGGCGTTATATAATGCTACACAAACTGAAAATGGTTTATATTTGCAACCAACATATTTTCAATTGTCATTTGATCATTCAAGTTATAAAATACCGAACCCATATGCAAGAGTTTTCTGTTTATTCTTTAGGCTTCTAATCTCAACGAAAACTTTTTGTAAGTATATTATGTAAATTCTAACAATCTTTTTTATTTTTCATTTATATTGACTTTCCGAGCGTTTTATTTTCTTACATCTTTTAATAAAGATTATAGACGTTATCAAAAAAATTTAAATATGATAAAAATTTGGTCGATCAAGAAGGACAATTCTTCAGCTGAAAAGAAGAAACCTAAAGTCTCTGCGGCTCAAATTCGTGTTCAAAAAGGTAAAGTTATTCTTCTTAAAAGCTTTGCTTTGTTTTGTTTTGTTTGATTAGCTTTTGATGAATCGTTGAGCCTAGTGTCACGTTCGAACCTCTTCCGCTCAGCTCAATTTTTTCCGCCATACTGGCAAGAGGAACTCCTACTTGCTTTCTTTCTTTCTTTTCTTTTTATTTTTTATGCCTCAAAAATTCTCAACTTTTATTTCTATTTCTTTTTTTCTTTTTTTTTTTTTTTTTTTTTTAGATTTGACTGAGCTCGCGCTCCCTGACACAATGCAAATGAACTTTCCAGATGAGGCAGATCTCCTTAATTTCAATTTGTCCATAACACCAGATGAAGGTACGACCGAAATTCTTTGAATTCGTTAATATATTGTTATTAATTGGTTTAGTTGGTTTGATTTATTTATAACACAGGGTTCTATCGTGGTGGAGTATTTAGATTTACATTCAACATAAATAATAACTATCCTCATGACCCACCAAAAGTTCGTTGTTCCCAAAAGGTAATTAAGAGAGAATCATTACCTTTAAAGTATCAAATCATTTTAATTCTTGTTTAATTGAATTTAGATCTACCATCCTAATATCGATCTTGAAGGAAATGTATGTTTAAACATTCTCCGTGAAGATTGGAAACCTGTCTTGAATTTGAATTCTGTATTGGTAGGGTTGCAATATTTATTCTTGGAACCGAATGCTGATGATCCCCTTAATAAAGGTAATGTATTAATTCAACTTATATCGTGTAATAATTTATTTGTAACCTCGTCTTTCCCTTTTTAGATGCGGCCGAGGATTTGAGAACAAACCGAAAAAACTTTGAATATAATGTCAAGCAATCGATGAGAGGTAAAGATGTTAAAGGTGTTTATTTTGACAATGTACTGATGTAGGGTATATATATAGATCATGTTTAGTTATTATACATTTCCAAACACGTCAAGTTCACAAAAATAACAATCCTATTTGTTATGACATGAGCTTTTTTTTTTTTTTTAATACATTAAGAAACTATACGTACTACGCACAATTATTTTCATTGTTCAAATTTGAAAAAAAAAAAATTGTTGGTAAAAGAAATTCCTTTTGAACTGTCTTGAGTTATTCAAATAATTGTGTTATGCTTGTATTCTTTATTCTTCTCATGGGCATCGAGATAGCATTTTTGAAAGAAGGAACAATTTTATTTATTTATTTATTTATTTGACAAGGAGATAATTTTACAGATAATCAAAATAATCAGAATTTCTTGAGGAATTCAGCCAATAATTTTTTTTTTTTTTTTTTTAAAAAAAACAAATTGTAAAACAATTCTTTTTTAATACCAAGCACATTGTTCTTTTGTTATACTAATTACAAATAAATTTTTATACAGCAAGAACCAAATTAAACATAGTATATTCTTTTTTATTTTTTGGTATTACAATATTTATGACATTGGTACAAATAATCATTATGATATTACAATTTAACACCTAATTTTTTTGATAAGAAATTGGCAGGATCAATTACACTCTCGGGATAAGGTAAAACACCAACCTTTCTTAGGGATTCACCACCATCAACAACAATTATCTGGCCAGTAATAAAACTAGCAGCATCTGACGCCAAGAAAATTGTTGCTTGTTCGATATCTGAAATAGTTCCCTATATAATATAATATATACATTATACATCAAAAAATTATTAATGGTGGTTTATTGTGAATTTATTTTATTACTTTCCATACTTACAAATCTTTGAAGTGGAATATCTCTTATAGCAGCTTCAGCAGCAGTTGGAGGCAATAATCTTGCCGTCCCTTCCGTTTCTGCAATTGGGCCGGGAGCAATGGTATTTACGCGAATCGAGTAAGGTCCCCATTCAGCTGCAAGATTCTTTATAATTGAAAAATTATGTTTTAAGATAAATTCCAAGAAAACAAATTTAATACTCAAATAACATTTAATCTCACTCTACTCAGAGCATCCATTCCTGCTTTTGCGGCTGAAACATGAGACTTTTTTTTAAAAAAAAGAATGAATTAATAATTTATTGATATAAACAAATCGCGTCGAAATCATATCACCTGATAGAGTGTGGATTGATAATGAAGAGTCGCCGAAACATTTATAATACAGCCTTTTGATTTCTTCAGGTATGGAAAGCAAGCCTTTGTCGTATTATAAGTTCCAAGTAAATCGATCTCAATTACGGTACGAAAAGCTCTATAAGAAAGAGTTTCGGCTGGTGCCAAAAAATTTCCAGCTGACGGGGAGAATCACGTGTTTTTATTTGAATATATGATACACCGATGAGACTGTTCCAATAAATATAATATATATGTTACCTGCTCCATTGACAAGTATATCAATTTTACCAAATCTTTCGATTGCTTTTTCAACGACATTTATAATTTCTTCTGGTTTACGAACATCAGCAGCAATTGCACTAACAGTATTTTTGATATAATAATATACAATTTGCTATGTTAAAACTCCTTTTTTTTTCTAAAAAAAAAAAAAGATTCAAATCATTACAGGATTTCTCCTTGTGTGAGTTTACGCATTTCTTCGGCTGCTTTATCGAGTTTTTCTTGGCTAATTATTAAAAAAAAGGGATATAAATTAAGACGAATAATTATAAAGTAAAAGTAATCATGAATTAACCATGAACGCAAAACCTTCGGCTTGTAATAACGGCTTTTGCTCCGTGTCTAATCATAGCTAAAGTCATACCCTTACAAATACCACTTCCACCTAATATAATTGAGAAAAATATGTTCTTTAATAAATAACGTCATCATGAAATTTATTTAGTGATTTTACCTCCTGTAACAAAGGCTACTTTATCTTTTAAAATATCATCTTTAAATATTTTGTTTGTTGTCATAATTGAAAATATAAAAAGGTTTTAATTAATACAATTTCGAAATTTGTCTATTTTATTCTATTTTATCCAAAAGGGATGAAAATGGTTGATCAAGCCACATCATCTGGTATGTAATACAGCAACAAAAAAAAAAAGAAAAACTGATTACTTTCCCTGAGATCAAGCAAGTTATTTTTAAAACAACGGGTACACAATTGTCAAGTATTTTAATAAAGTGGCTGATACCTATCTATTTTAAAAATCTTACCGATTATAAAACAAACTCTGCTGCAGTTTTTAAGCAAATCTGCTTAAAAATAAAGGAAGATATATAAAGGTACGCATAAGATAAAATAACTTTTTTTGGAGAGCTATTTACACAACGTAAAAGTTTTCTAGGCTGTTGTTCACGAGCCTTGTATCTTTATAAGAATAGAATTGTTGGTTTTATTTTACACAGACAACACAAACATATCTTTTCCTCAAATTTATTTTATTTTATTTTATAAAGATAGTTATAATTTTGGTTGGTCGTTTCTTTTATTGTTCTCTGTTTCTCCTTTTACTTCTTTTTAATACTTATTTGGATCTCATTGACTCCGCTCCGTGCGGTCAAACTTGCTGAAAAGATTGCAGCATGGAGCGGGATACCAACGCTTTGTATAATACCTTGGGTGTACGAAAAAATGCTACCGAAGAGGAGATTAAAAAATCATATCGACGTTTGGCATTAAGATTTCATCCTGACAAGAACCCTAATGCTACCGATGAGGTAATTAAGAAAAAAACCTAAAGAATTATTAAAATTAAGAAGAAACAAAAATATATTTAAATTATTAATTACTTTTTCAAAAAAAAATATAAATATATATATAAAGTTCAAGTCAATTACGCATGCATACGAAATTCTTAGCGATCCCAAAAAACGATCAGTATATGATAAATATGGAGAAATGGGAATAAATATGATGGATTCAATGGCTGGATTTTTATTTGATCCAGATATCGAGGGACCATTATGTATGCTTTTCACCACCATTTCATTTTCGATCATTCTCTTGATCTTGTTCTTCGTTTTTCTATCAATACGAGTAGATAACAAAGTAAAATGGAGTTTTGGAGTTGTGTTCATACCTATGTGGATTGTAGATTTTGTGGTTTTCGTTGGATTGGTGGCACAAGCAAGGAAAGAACCAACTGAATATGATGAACATGATGCAGAGGAATTTGAAGGATTATATCATGACGATAGAGAACGAGCGAGAGAAGCAAGAAAATTACAACAAAAAAGATTACATCGTCTTAGAAATCTTTTAGCTATCGTATATTTATTATTGTTCTTCACATTTCAAATATTAATTGTTCTCCGAGCAGATGGGGCTATAAATTTTAGCGCGGCTATCGTATTTATTCCATATTTTATTACCGAAATTATTAATGTGTACCCGAATATCATGGAATATGTTGGTATATTCAGAACCACTAGAGTGTATGATCATAATGGTAAACCTTCTCTAAAGCTTAAGTTTCAATTGTTCTTTGAGACATTTTTTTGGCTTTTGATCAGAGTAGCTTTAGCAATCTTAATCGTTCTTAAGATTGATGGTGTTATTAAAGTTAGTTGGGGTATAGTATTCTTTCCATTATATTTAGTTGGAATTCGTTATGCACTTGGGATTTTATTCCAATGGTGGTTGCTAAGAAAAGCCGAACCATTACAGAATAGATTAAGGGTTGATGTTTTGGTTTCAGCTACCGTATTAGGAGTGATTGGAACTTTATCCTACACTGTTATAGGGTTACTAGCAAGTAGACTTGATGGAAATAATGGAATTAGATTATCATCAATTTTTATTCCTGTATTTATCGTCCTATCTCTTTTATTTTGTTGCTCGGGATGTTGTTTACCTTGCGTTTTCTTGAATTGGGGTGGTGAAGATTTTGAAGGTAGTGGTGATACTCCGTTTATATCACCTGATAAAAGAATAACTTATCCCTCTGTAGCAGGTCCAAGTTCAGGTGGAAGCAATGATGCAGTATAATATTTTAACATTAATTAGTATCTTTATCCCATTTTTTTTTTAAAAAAAAAACCTCTATTAATTGGAGGGAAAATTTTTTTTTTCGGTCAACATACATGATGTATATATGTCATGCTACTACTAAAAATTGTAAAGTAGATTACTGTTAAGTTATATTTGTATTTAGATTTGTTATAGTATTTTTAAATCCTGTGTTAATCTAAAAAATTTAATCGAAGTAATTATAATTCGGGACCTATCATATCAGGTCAAAAAAAAAAAAAATAATATCATTAGAATAATGATTTTTCTTCACAATTGCTTTTTGTTTTTTTTTTGAATATTTTATTTATATAATAAAACCTTTTTAATTTCATTATCGATTTGCACAATTTGTAAATCAATGAAATTTTCTTCATTAGCCACAGTTTGCCCAGCCTTGTCCTATCACTTCTATCACTTGAATAACTAAATAGTTTTTTTTGTTTTTTTTTTTTTCTTTTTTTCTTATTGTATTTTTAAAAAGATGGCAGCGGAATATAAACAAGTATTATATGAAATACAAAGAAAAAATGGGAATAAAGTACGTTTTTTTATTTTTTTGCCACATCATAATTTAGTTGAACTAGACTCTTTTTTTTTGTCGTAGAATTGTGTTGATTGTGGAGCACCTAATCCACAATGGGCCTCGGTTTCTTTTGGAATATTTATTTGTTTAGAGTGCTCCGGAATTCATAGGTCTTTCGGTGTCCACGTTAGGTAATATATATATATATATTTTTTTTAAAACGTTTCATTTTTTGCAAACTCCACCCGTTTATATTTTTTTAAAATTCAAACTCCACCATATATAATGTGTATGTTTAGTTTTGTTCGTTCGATAACCATGGATAAATGGTATGACGATCAAATTAAAAAGATGAAAGTAAGCGTATTATAATTTATAAATTCTTTTAGCAAATGCATTTTCATTGCATTTTCTTTTTTTAATATTATTTTTTGTTTTATATTTTTTTAGCTCGGAGGAAACACTGAATGGAGAGAATTTTATGAGTCATCATCAGAATATTATCCCGAAATGTCATTAAAGGATAAGTACCATAGTAGATTTGCAACTGATTATCGTGAAAAGGTTTGTTAAAATTACTTTAGATTTTCAAATTATTATTATTTTTTTTTTTACTCTTCTAATATTTTTATAGTTGACAGCAAAATGTGAAGGAAGAAAATGGACACCATCTGCACAAAATGTCGGCAGAACTACTAGTCGACCGTCATCATCCAACAGTAATAGATCATCAATTCAATCATCAAATCGTAACATTATTGGTGATGCAACGAATACACGAACAGCATCTTCATATCAATCATATCAATCTAATGGAGATTTAAGTAGCTTAAGTAACGATAATAATCTTTCATCTGATAATAAGGTAAAAAATGAAAAATATTTTGCAACTTTAGGAAGAGCAAATGATACGCGGCCAGATCATTTACCACCAAATCAAGGAGGAAAATATACTGGATTTGGTAATCCAGCATTTACAAATGTAAATTCATCATCAACTTCGAATACTTTAGCACCAGATTTAGATGAATTAATGAATGATCCTGTTAAAGCCTTCACGAAAGGAATAAATTTTCTTGGATATCATGTTGTAGAAGGTGCAAAGTTAGCAGCTCAAGGAGCCGAAACTTTAGGACAAACTGTTAATGAACGTGTAATTAAACCTACAACAGAAAAAGTGAGAGATCCTGAATTTACTTCACAGGTTGCAGGTTACGGAGCTTGGATTGGCAAGACTGTTAGCGAAACTGCATCGAAGGGTATATCTACTATATCAAGCATTTCTTCAAATAGTTTAAGTAGACAAAATTATTCATCTATATCAGACGATTCTTATAATGATGGTATTTATGATGGGGACAATGAATTTTTTGCTGATACCATTAATCATTATCAACAAAGAAATACTCCTGCTAATGGAAGAAATTCTCCTTTTAATAATAATAGTCATAATAATAATAATAATAATAACAATAATAACAATAATAATAATAATAGTAATTTAAGATCTTCGTCACCTAAAATTTCTTCGACTGGTTCTACTACAACTAGAAGAAGAAATGAAGTAAATAAGAAGGATGGTGGTTGGGATGACGAATGGAACAGTTGGTAATTGATGTAATCATATTGGGGGAGAGCTAACATAAATTAAGGATTTTTTTGAGGGGAGTAAGTAATATTTATTTGAAACTTTCCTTAAATTGAAAAGGACGTTGAGAATTTTATATATGCCTTTTTATTTTTTTTTTTTAAAAAAAAAAAAACCAGTATTAATAGAATATTCATTAATCTTATTTTTAATTAAATTTAGAGAAAAATATCTATTTTTTTTATTAGATTTTTTTATTTTTTTTTTACTTTTTTATTTATTGAACATTATTTAATATGCAGCAATTCTAAATTTTATTAAATATTTATTAAAGTGAAAAAGAAATACATCTAATTATTTTTTTTTTAATTAATGAAAATTTGATTAAATTAGGTTAAAAGTATTTCAAACCAAATAAATAATTATTAATAAAAACCTATTTTTAGAAAGATATATACATTTTTCAAATCAAAAGAATAAATATAATTAGAAATTTAAATATAAAAAAACTCTTCTTTTTTACTAAAAATTACCAATTATTCAATTATTAGACAAACAAAAATTAATAATGCTTAAAAAAAATCTCAAATTATTATAAATAATAAAAGAAATAATAATAACTCAAATAACAATATTATCTCTAATCCTTTAAGTAACACTAACAAACTGTTATCCCAAAAAAAAAACAAAAACTTTCAACTAATATTTCTTCTCAAATTCAAGATATTCTTTTATATCAAACTATCAATAATATTGCTATTGGTAATAATATTTTTCTTATTAACTTAACCTTAGAACTATTGATACCTACTATTAATCCAAAAATAATAGATATTGATCAAACTTTTCTCACCTTAAATAAAGATATGCTTCCTTCTCTTATTAAACAAATAACTAATAATTTTATATACGCTTTTAATTCTTACAATAATAACAACAATAAACTTTATTCAATCACAAAACATTTTTAATTAACAAAGGTAAACAAAAAGCAAACTTGGTTTAATAAAATAGAAAATGACAAAAAATTATATAAATAAGATAGCAACAAACTTTCTTTTAATATTATTACTATACCTATACATTTTTACATAACTGATAATACATCACATATAAATAAAAAGTTATAACTGAAAAACATATCTTCATCAACTTCTTATTTATCTATTATAATGGATATCAAGGCTTAACTTATATTTTTAAAATTATAAAGTTTTTTTTATATATTTTAACATGATAGATTTCTTATAAATACAATCACAAAAACACAAAAAATATAACACAATCCTATTTTTACTATAATAAATCCTATTAGTAAAACAACAAAGGTAAGATACTAAAAAAGGTAGAACCATAAAAGTCTTAAATATTCTCTTATTTATCAAATCTGATGTAGTAAAAAATTACTATATTAAATAGTAAGATATCCCATTTCTCAATGATTATCAAAGATTTCTAGCAGATTATTTTTATTATGTTTAAAAATCCCAATTCTATTAAATCTTTTATAATCATGTATAATCTATATTCTTTTTAAAAAATTTTCTTGAAGTTAAACTAATTGATTCAAATACTACACAAACTATTTTAAAATAGCAATTTAAATTGAAACTATTAAGCTTTCTCTTATTATAAACAAAAATAACTTATCCACTTTTTAATTTATTTTAAAGCTAAATCTTATTTTATGTATTTATCAATTTTGGTAATACTAAAAATCTTAATGCTGTAGCTAAACTATCACAAAAATTTAAAGATAAAATTCTTTATTAGATAAAACTATCAAAGAAATACTATAAAAGTTGTGGTATTTTTAATCATAAATTCAAGAATTGTATAAACTATAAATCAGCAAATTATTACTGTTCACTTTATAATTACTTTAAGCCTAAATAATATTATCTACCATAACCTTTTTAAACTAATAATAAAGGTCTTTTTAAATTATTTTTCTAAGTTATCAAGGATCCTAAAGCTCTACTTTTTTTAAATTTTAATAACAAAATTTCTTTAAACATTATGGATGTTCTTAAAGTTATTCTAGAAAAATTAGATATTATAAAAATAAACCCATTTTAATTGATGATAAAATTACTTTTCTTAAAAATTTCATTATAAATAAGATCAAAACCTAAAGATCATACATATTGAAAATAATCCAAAAATAATTAACAATTCCAACTATAAATTTCTTCTTTACAATAGTGAAGAAGAAATAAAAATTATATTTATTAAATCTTTAGTTCATCTTAATAATAATGATGAATCATCATCTTATTCTAAATCAATTAATATTTCAAATATTTAAATAAACAATTTATAAAGAATTAATTAGTTGAAATCTTAATTAATAATATCAGATTTGAAATACATGAAATTTAACTACTATGTATTCTATTATTTAATCTTTTTCTTCTTTTAATTAATAAATATACATTATATCAATAATAATAATAGTATTCACCTAAATAATAATCATAAAATTTTAATAAATAACAATTTCTTTTTACATTGTAATAATTCAAAATTTTTTTAATTGTTACTCATAATGTTAAAAATTATATTTTAGATATTAAAATAGCTCAAGTTAAACAATTTTTTACTACATATAATTTAGACATATTAGATTTAAGCAAAACATATTTAACTTCTACTCAAGCTTAAAACTTTTATAATAAGTTTTACAAATTTATTTTTTTCTCAAACAATTCACAAATTAACTATTAATAAGTAGGTTTATTTATTAGATCATACTTTCAAGAACATTTTTTTTAAGAATTCCTATTTGATAGAATTGCATATATCAATATATTATTTAAAAATAAAACTAAAATTCAAATTATTCAAATATATCTCCTTATTAACTGTTGATAAAAAACATTTAGACCTTAGAATTCTTATAGAAACTACAGTTATCAAACTAATTTTAGAAACCTAAGCTAAATTCTATTATATTATATTAATAAGTAATTTTTATGTTATTTTTATAAGATAAAAAAAACTTATAATGTAATAAAAAGAAACAAGATATATGGATCTCTTATTGACAAACTTCTCAACTTAAATTTCATTCAAACTACATCATTAATTTCAGATATTCAAAAACAGCTTTTACATATATTCATCTTATCTAAGAAAATATAAACACATATTGATTATATTGTAACATAAATGATCTTCAGAAAATTAGAAATGTGACGCAGTAAAGTGATCTACAAATGATCATCATGTGAATTGATCTACAAGAATCAATGACATAATAATCGGCAAAAGATGATCTGTGAAATTAACCAAATCGGTTAATGAAAAAATGAAGTAATAGATCATTAGCCTATGACGACATGTGTAACCTTCTAAACTAGAAATTCCAAATAGGAATTTCAAGGAGAAACTAGTCGAAAGGCTAAGTATAAGGATGTAGCAATAGTTTAAGAACAATATAATTATATTCTCTAC